TGAACTGGCTGAGCGTTGTGGGTCTGCTGCTGGTGCTGTGTGGGGAGGCTCTGCGTAAGGCAGCCATGTTGACGGCCGGCTCCAACTTCAACCACATTGTGCAGAATGAGAAGGCCCAGAGCCACGTGCTGGTTACCAGCGGGGTCTATGCATACTTCAGACACCCCTCCTATGTGGGCTGGTTCTACTGGAGCACAGGCACGCAGGTGAGTGGCGCGTTGTCCAACAACAATGTTACTGTAGCAACTTTGAATGCCCTCTGTTTCTCTGAAATAATGCTGCACCTCAGACTCATACCTCGTTTGGGTTATTCAGACACCCTTTCATCACCATGATATTCATGAATGTCACAAATGTGTCCAAATACTAAAGTACAAACTGTTAACCTTTTTGGTTTTTTTCATCAAATGGTGTACTTTTTATTTCTACGATATTAAAATCTTCGTATTATTTTAACAAATAGTGCGACTCCGGCCATTTGATGATTGCAGAATGCCAATCTGGGATTTAGATTTCAGCATAGTTCCAACACTTGATGCTCGGAGTCTCACACTTAAGTGAAATGATGTAGTGATAGTTGGGGGTTGACATGTTGTGTGTACTGGTGACTGTTGCAGGTCATGCTGTGTAACCCGGTGTGTATACTGGGCTACACGATAGCCAGCTGGCGGTTCTTCCGGGAGCGCATCGAGGAGGAGGAGCTCTCCCTCATCCACTTCTTCACCGAGGATTACGTGGAGTACAAGAAGAGGGTTCCCACCGGGCTGCCCTTCATCTCAGGCATCCGCGTCAACTAGTCCCAGCAGCTGGATGCTGGATGTAGACTTAAGCATCAGGGCAAGTCAGACCTGGGGGGTGCAGCTCTACCATGGCTTCGCCCTCCAGACGGCCCTGCAGCTCACAGACTGAGTGACAGCAGGGGGGGGCAGGCAGCTGGGCTGCTGTTTTCTACCAACTTTTAAAATCCAGTTAAAGACCAGACAACCTCCACTGTACTATATGTTTGACTCCACTTGTTTGACTCTGTTTCTGTTTGCATGCTTCCACCATGCTTAGTGCTCTCACTGATGAAGACTGATTCTGCACTGGCCTCTGTGCCATCACATATCATCACACAGGGAGAAATGACCAAATGTTTCACAGGTAATCCACCAAATATTTTCAAGAAGTCACCACCACTGTCCTTTAGTCAACATTTCACTGTCTCTATTCACTGTTTGCATTGTTAACGTATAAAGCTTAAAGAATAGATATCGTCAGTCAGTGACGCCCTTCAGAAGAGCTCTTCACAGATCCACTCCACGTCTAGTATCTGGAGCCATCCCTGAGGGGGGGTCACAGTGACGTTTAGAGGTGTCAGGTCTACTAGGGCTCTCTGACTCCACAGCAGATTTAAGCTACATATTTCCAGTAGTGTCCCTAATAATATGTACTTTTTAAGGGTGGATAAGCCTCTCCAACAGAATAGATTTTCCACTGAAACCTGAGATGTTAGAGTTCTTCAGAGTCAGTAGCTCTTTATCACCAGTGCATCCAAATAGAAGTAAAGGGACAATAGGTGACATTTGATTTTGTATTTAAGAATTTATCTTCAAAAGTATTATTTAACAATGATTAAATTAAGAAAATGTGGAACAGTATATGTTTCTCTCTGGTTTTTGGGACCTACATATGGTTTGTTTGGAAGGGGCAGGGGGGGTTGGGGCTTAGGGGTCCTCTCAGGCTCCCCCATAATGCCCACCACCGGAGGAATATTGGGTACCCACCGCAGTGGTCCCATTGGACATACACACACATAATGCTGTCTATACACACACATTCAGTTAAAGATACATGTGTGTAAGCAAGTGATGTGTGTGTGTGTGTGTGCACCCTGAGTTGAAAGTGACACACCTGTAGCACATCTGTAGCACATCTGTGAAGCCACTGTGGAGGCTGACGTAATGATAGGGCTGCACAACACTTTATCATGGGCCTGTATTAAAGACATTGTACCCGACTGAAACCTGTTGACTGATTACTGTGCATTGCTTCTCAACAGAGAAGAGGAAGTACTCACATCTTGTCCTTGAGTAAAAGTAGAAGTACCCTCTGTAGCAATACTCTGTTACAAGTAAAAGTCCTGCAATCAAAATGTTACTCAGGTAAAAGTAGAAAAGTATTAGCATCAGTATATACTTAAAGTAGTAAAAGTAGTCATTGTGCAGATTGGTCCATCGCAGAATAATATATATATATATATATATGTTTTATAATGATTGATCATTAAAGTGTTATCAATTAGCAAAATAGTACTGTTCTGTTTGAGGAACTTGTACTTTACAAGTTCCTCAAAATTAAGAACAGTACTTGAGTAAGTGTACTTCGTTACTTTACTCTGTGGTTCTCAAACAGCATTAAAAAAATCACTTAATTTTTTTAAGGCTGTGTCTTTATGTCATTAAGACAGGATTCACTAACTTGCTGTTCTTTAATGTTTAGTAATGTAAAATGAGTTAAACAGTCCAAGTGGACATTTGTAGTCTGATTACTAGAAAATGTACAAATAGTGCTGAAAAAGTCAGAGATGGTGCTTCCCCAAGACTCTGCATTTGACCCGGCCCTCTGCCCGGGAGGCAGTGTAGGGGTCGATGCTTTGCTCAGGAGCACCTCTTGTTTGTACAAACAGCACTCTCCCTGAACGAGTCAGAGACCTCTGATCAAATCAGAGAGCACCGGGTCCTCTGCACAAACAGGCAGTCTGTGTGCTCCTTTTAGAGTGTGTAGAGGGGTCCGGCAGGGCTGTGCTCTGTCAGGGATGCTCTATGCACTCTCCCTGGAACCCCTCCTGAGCAACATTTTCAAGGTCTGTTTTTACCTGGTTTTAATGCCACAGGGGGTGCGCTTTTTTATCCAGAGAGGAGGGGGGACAGGGCCTTGTCCACCTGGCCAGCCGAACAGCCACTTTTAGAATACAGTTTTTACAAAAATATCTGCCCGGCTGGTTTAGTGTGGAGAGATCAGCTGCATTCTCAGACGCGTGAGTAACCTGGGGCTGGATGCTGCTCTTTTTTTAACTGATTTCAACATTTTAAAGTTAAGTGGGCTTTTATCAGAGTGTTTTTAAGTCTTGGGCCCTTTTTAACCATAAAAGGTGTCCAAAGACTGACTCTCTGCACTGGTTGTTAAAGGAGCCTTTAATCCACAAAGCCAGGCTGGACGTCAGCAGCAGCGAAACACCCGGCCTGATGGTGGCGCTGTGCCGATCCAGGACGCTGTGCAGCTGGTGGATGCAGTGGGGCCGCAGCTGAGCGATGCCCGGGCCCTGGGCTCTGCTGGGTCTAAACTGTCCGGGTGGCCAAGGCCGGATTAGTACCTGGGGCCCCTGGGCACCGAGACCCCCTTTTTAGAAGTGTTTCTTCCTTGCCCTTTTCGTTGCAAAGTCTGTGATAAGTTGTCGTCAAAATCCTAACATTGCTCGCTAGCTCAACAACATCCTCAGGCTCCGTGACCGTCACTGCTGGCCTAATTCATCACTTTTAGCTTTAAAAAAAAAAAGAAGCTATTTATTGTTGGGAAATGTTTTAATGCAGCCGCTACTCTCTCTTCCTTTTCTTTCTTGTTCGCTAATACAATGTATGAGTGAGGTTGTGCCAAAAAAAAAATGTTTTCTTGTCACTGAGGGCCCTCTCTTGCTCAAGGGCCCCTGGGCACATGCCCAGTGTGCCCCATATAGTTAATGCGGCCTTGCAGGTGGCCCAGAGGATCCTTCAACTCTGGAGCCAGAGCCTTTGCACATGAGAGAAAATAATTTTAACATGTTATGGCCACAGAAAAGGCAATCCAGACCCAGCAGACCCAGAGATCTACCTGAGCCCAGGGCTCGGAGAGCTGACCGGCCCCCTGCTCAAGGTCACAAACCTCGTTCAAATGACAATACACAGAGCTGACAAAAAAATACTTAACATGAACATTTTGAAAAGCATAAATAAAAATGGACTGAAGGACAGGGCCTCCACTGTGTGGAGCACCAGACTGATGCAGGAAACAGACCAGGCCCAGTGGAGGATTCTATATAAACCTTCCCTCAAAAAATGTACTGCCAACGTCCAGTGGAGAATTTGACAAGGTGCGATAGCCTCCAATTCTTTTATTTCTGTTATGAATCCTGCTGTTCTCAACAAATGTCTTTGTGATTTTAGAGAGACTGTTTCCCATGTTTTTACAGAGTGCAAGAGACTCACGGGTTTCTTCTCTCTTTTAACATTGGTTTTTAGTCTTTTAGTGTAGTTTTTACCTAGAGTGTGTTTATCATTGGGGCTCCCTACAAAAAAACAAGCAAGGAAAAGTGGCAGCTCCTAAACTTCCTCTCAGGTTTAGCAAAAATGGCAATTTATTTAGGCAGAAAAAACAGAGTTTAACCAGAGTGGAAAACGGAGAAGGGCAAGAGGCAAAAGCAATCTGGCTGTGTAACATCAGGCTGTGTAACATCAGAGCCAGACTCTGGCTGTGTAACATCAGAGCCAGACTCTGGCTGTGTAACATAACATCAGAGCCAGACTCTGGCTGGAGCAGAGGTTTTATAAACACATTGGGGATCTAGACCCTTCTAAACAGCGTTGGTGCTACAAATACATTGTATGTTCTGTTTTAAATGATGAACGGCACTTTGCACAAGTTTTAATTAGATCGTTTTTTATTAATTATTTTAAGTAAATCGAGTCTTTGCACAATTAAGCACTTTATTTGAAGTATATGTACAATTGTTGAATATGTAAATAAAGTGTTTTTAGCAAAGTCAAAAAACTCTTCTTCTGATTCTCCTTTTTCTTCAGTGGAACAGGCTTGTTTGACATAAGGTATTGATTGATTTGCAAAAACATTAAAAAATCGTTGTCTCACGTAAGTACGTAGGGGGAATGTCTGGGATACACATTTAACAGTTTGGTTCCCAGGTTCAGTGATGGATGACTGTCATATTTATAGCACATTGAGTTTTTTTAATCAATCTCAGAGTCACGGATCAATCGGTAGTTTGACGTTCGATTTCTAGAGTTAACGCATGCGCACAACCTGCCCTTCCTTTCCGCTAGCTTCTCCGCCATGGCGCCTATTGTAAGTAAAGTCGCGTGTTAATTAATCCACCCAAATTGTGTAATTTCGGTTGTGAAAGCCAGATTAAACAGTCGGGACGAGATGGGATCTTTTGTATAACACCCATGGTCCGAAGAAAGGCTTTGTGCGTTCCTCTAAAGTGTTTTATTAGCACATAGGTGGCCTATATATGCGGGTTAGCTAACGTTAGCTTCATAGCTTCGGAAGGACTAGCTCACCACGTTGTTTTGTCAGTGTGGCCGTCCGGAGCACTGTGACACATATTTAGTTTAACAACTTGAACAAATGGTGTAGTTGTAGAAGAGACTTGTATTTCACGCTAGCGAGTTAATAGTTGTGTTGTTGCTTGGTCACCTGAACGCTAAAGCTGGTGGTGTGGCCGTGCGGAAGTCTTGAAATGTAATAATCAGAAGTAATTATGTTAAATATGTTGAAGTCAACAGCAGGCCTACATGGCACAGCCATAGAAGTCATAAACATCATCTTTATTTGCAGGGTGCCTACGGGTGCTGAAAATATTAAAACACTTGTGTGGTGTTTTCTATGTTTTTTAAAGTATTTTTAAATGAAGGGCTTGAAAGGTTGGTAAAATATAAAATCTCTAGTCATGCATCATATGATATGCACCATACCTTGAAACGTCAAACTACTTGTTTTACTTGAATGTGTGCCCTTGTGTATGGTTCTCTTACAAAACATAAGTAGGGTTGTGTGATGAGGAAGAGAAAAATACATTGTGAAAAGTTGAGTTGCGTTGTTTAGACTAAACATTCTGCCACGTCAAGTTGAGTGTTTTGTGTTTATTAAGCAGAAAAAGCAGATCACCGGCAAAGGTGGTAAGAAGAAAAAGCAGGTCCTGAAGTTCACCCTGGACTGCACCCACCCTGTGGAAGATGGTATCATGGACGCAGCCAACTTTGTAAGACACCCTCTTTAGATGTTCTCAATGTGCAGCTGTGATGTGTAGCAGTCTTTATACCACTAATAAGATGTCTGCTGACTCGCCCCAGACAGGAAGAAATTAAACTTCAATATGAACGTCTTAAAATGTGATTATTAATCGTCCCTGTGAACATGTGATATTTGCCAAAACATTGCTGATGTATAGCCGAAGCATTGAAATCTCAGAATAGTGTACAGCCGCTCAGTGATGTGAGGTTTTCTCTAATGTGTTGTTCACAGGAGCAGTTTCTTCAGGAGCGTATCAAAGTGAATGGGAAAGCCGGTAACCTGGGTAACGGTGTGGTCTCCATCGAGAGGAGCAAGAGCAAGATCACAGTGTCCTCTGAGGTGCCCTTCTCCAAAAGGTAATCAGGCACTCTATTACCTAGTTATATGGTGTACTGCTTTGTGGACATTTTATAAACTGAAAAAAAAGGAAATGAAATAATAATATGGAAATAAGACCTGTGGTTAAATCAAGCTGGAGAGAACACATTTTGTCCTACAACATAAGCATGTCAGTATATACAACCCACAAAAATCAGCTCCTCTCGTCTTTTCCTATCCACTATTCCTTGACTTCTGGGTCACAGGGTTAAGGAATAGTGGATAGGAGAATTCTAAAGGTCTTAGGAAAATATGACCAGGCTTCAAGAGAATCCGACTGCACTGACACTATCGGACTTCAGAATTCCCGTTAGCCGGTAATTACCGGACTATGACCGGTAAAATATGCTGAAGACCGGCAAATCTAAATCTCTCCGGTCAAAATCATTTCCCCTTAGCGCAATACCGCATCAGTTGCGCCATTTATGTGACAGACAAGAATAGTATGTGACAGACAAGAATAGTCAATTCTAATGTCTAACACTTAATGTGGAGAAAGAGATGTCCTGTATGGGTTGATTGTGCGTTGATCTGTTGGTAATGCCTCGGGGTTCCGGTGGGCATGTAAACAAATGCATAATGCTGCGCTATACTTTGCGGCCTCACCCGGTTGCATAGCGACGCTTATTGTTTAGGTGTCTTTTAATAAGCAGGTAGTCATATCATTAGCTAGAACTAGCTAGATCTGATCGATATGGACATAAACGCGAGTGAAGTCTAATCTGACGGGAGCAAGAGATCAGCTGCTGCTGACTAGTCGACACGCAGCTCTGCATGATCACCTGCAGCGGTGAGCGGAACAAAACACACTTCATGAACGTGGACAACAGTGACAAATATACTCTTTATAGATAGATAGTACTTTATTGATCCCAAATTGGGAAATTGTTGATCTGAATTTAAATAAAAAAGTAAAGTGAAACTTATTATTGTCACTCTCCCCCTCTGGTAAATACGTATGAATCCACATGAATCCCTATAAGTATGATTGTATGAAAATATTTTTTAATAAATACAATTGTATTTATTATAAACTTGTTAGGCCTTAACCTATCACTATGTATATCACCATTCAAACATTTTCAGAAAACCCACACAGCTCAGTAAAGACTGTGGTGTGTGTGTGTGTGTGGTGTGTGTGTGTGTGTGTGTGTGTGTGTGTGTGTGTGTGTGTGTGGTGTGTGTGTGTGTGTGTGTGTGTGTGTGTGTGTGTGTGTGTGTGTGTGTGTGTGTGTGTGTGTGTGTGTGTGTGTGTGTGTGTGTGTGTGTGTGTGTGTGTGTGTGTGTGTGTGTGTGTGTGTGTGTGTGTGTGTGTGTGTGTGTGTGTGTGTGTGTGTGTGTGTGGTGTGTGTGTGTGTGTGTGTGTGTGTGTGTGTGTGTGTGTGTGTGTGTGTGTGTGTGTGTGTGTGTGTGTGTGTGTGTGTGTGTGTGTGTGTGTGTACTGCCCCGCCCCCTCGCACACAGACGGGGGAGAGATCTCTCGCCTGGATTGGAAAGATCGAAAATACTAAAAATAATCATAGACGCGTTTTGCAGTCTTTTTGCGTATTAGAAACGGAGTTGGCGACACTAAAACTGCAATATAATGTTTGTGTAGCAATAATACATAAGACATATATTTTTTAGATGTCTCCAGTACCGATAAAAAGACCAATAACGTCGGAGCTTAACGGTACCACGGTCTTCAATAATTCAGCCCCGGGGCCCGTTTAATACCGGGGCTCGGTACCCATCCCTAGTCCAGTGTTTCCTAAGCTAAGGGAGGTTATAAAGGACGTTTCAAACCTCCTTTCCTTTCATCTAGACCAGTGGTCACCAACCTTTTTAAGCCCAAGATCCTCGGCCTTGGTGAAAGGTGAGATCTACCTATCGCAGAATTGAGTGAAAAAGACAGCCTAGACAGTACTTCCAATTTGAGGCCTTTTATGTCGGCTAATTGCATCTGAATTACATCAAATCATTTGGTGCAACTTACAATTTGATTAAACCAAGAACACAACATAACTAACATGTCAAAAAGGATAAATATACATATTTCAGTGTTTCCCCTACCATTGTCTTGGCGCTGCGCCCCGCCAACGGAGCCCCCCCCCCCCCCCCCCTGAAATTCAAGGTGTTTTTTTAATAATATATTTATATATATATAGCACCAAATTGCAACTGGAGTAATCTATCTGCGGTCACTTTTCACATTGAACATGTGCTCTTTTATTAAATAAACTAAACGCTTATGTTATTTATCCAATTTATGTGCATGTTTCATTATCTGACTTGACTTTTAAGTTGTGAGTTTAGTGTTTTTGACCCTAAGAAACACTGATGAATTAATCAATAACAATAATCCACAGCTCCTCTGCTCCAGAGGATTTTTCTTTTACGGTGCGCAATCTACCTGCACCACACTCGCGATCCACTGATCTAGAGAATCTGAACAGCTCTTATCATGGCTGCCACTGAGGTACTTCTGGGTAATTTCACTCGGTAAGGAAGGTTCCTAAGATGAACTGATAATATGACCACAACCTTAGCTTAGCCTGACAATATTCCGATCCAATGGAAACATGAACAGCCTACAGAAACACGTCAGCACTGAATCATTCTATATTATACACGCCCATAGATTCTCCAACAAGTAGCAGGAAGACATTAAGAGATGTCACTGCTCCTAGTACTACGATGGGTTAAATGCAGAGGTCCAATTTCACTGGCTGTGCTGTGTGCATGTACATGTGTGTGACAAATAAAGAGGGTTTCATTCTCCAATTCTCTAATGGTAAGAAGGGAGTCATTTTTAATACTTGATGTAGGTCAAATAAAGAATTTCCTGTTTTTCACTTTCATTGCCTCAAACTTCAGAGAGTTACCAAAGTTGACATTACTCTGTTGGTTCTGCTACCTTTTGATGAGATGCCTTTTTCAATGAAATGTAGGTCAATTATGCTTGATACTTGAAGAAAAAAAAAAACTGCCTCCTTCACAGCTCTCCATAGGATTTCATTTATTTTGTTACAAAAAGTGTTGGCAGCTCATTCCTTAAAACGGAAGCCATAGATTGCTTATATTTTTACATTGCATATCATTTAGCTGACGCTTTTATCCAAAGCGACTTACAATAAGTGCAAAAACCATAAATAATCAAACTCCGAACAACAAGGAAAGTGCAGATATACTCACTTCAAGCAAGATCATACCATAGTAAGTTTCTGTGAATTAGTTGCAAGGCCTAAATTAACTCAAAAAGTACTTTGTGTTTCAAGCTTGTTATGCAAATAAGTTATTGGGCCTTTTTTTATCAACTAATGCCGCAGTTCCACTACACGGTCGGCCTCGGGTACGGCTCGGTACGGCTTGGCCTTAACAGGGCCGACTCACTTCATGCTGCGCTTCCATTACAGTTTAGGAACTGGGGTAGTTACTATAGTAACGCAGTGTAGGCGGAGCCGTGACGTCATCTTCAGAGAACTCCAGAAACACAACACAGCCGTTAGCTGTTAGCACTCAGAGCTCACAGCTCCTCATATCTGTTCAGAAACTCGACAAAAGTTAAACAAGTACAAACCACAGACTGCCTGTGTCATGGTGAATACAGTCGCTGCTTTATTTATGTCTGTATAGGCCGTTGTTGTGAGTGTGGACGGTCGGGGCATATACTGCGTTAGCTTAGCCAATCTCCATCAAGAAAAACACGCATTTTAAAAGGTTTTTCGCCTGCCGTCTGTCTGCAGACTTGTCAAAGCATTAATTCATGGTTTTTACTAACCGGTATCAGTATGTTGTTACTTCGGCATCATTTTGAAACGTGTATTACAATTAAATCACGGTCAAATATGTCCATCTTGTTGTAGTTGTAGCCCCTTGCCAGCGCTCCTCTCTCTAGTTTAGCATACTCAGCCCGACTCAGCCCTGTTTGTTGGCCTCGATAGAACCACAATTTTCTCGGGTCAGAAAAGACGTGAAAAAGTGGCCCCGGGCCGGAACTAGGCCTAGTGGAAGCGCAACCAAAAACGGGCTCGGCACGACACGGCACGCTTAAAGCGAGCTCCGCGCTGTAGTGGAACTGCGCCATAAGATTTGTTAGAAAATGTTTTCAACTTGAATTGACAATTGATTTGAAAGTGGGCTTATTACACATGAATGGAAAAAGAAAATGTCCAACGAGGCGTTCTGGGGCAGCATAGACAGGTCTTTTCTGTGTTAGAGTTTTACTCCCTACAGGGTGTACTTTGAGGGTTTGTGACTCTGCAGACCGTTTACATGCATAAAAACCTTCATAACACACAAGGGGACGGGTAATAACCGGAAAAGCATGACATGGGACCTTTAAGATCTTATTCACTTTATCTCATACATCCCAAACAGCCCCTTCCTTTTGAAAAAAGGACTGAATGGTCAGAGGTTAAGCTACTGCTTTAAGATCACGTTGAACACTGTCTATTAGCAATAACCAAAAATACAAATATTTAGTGAAAAACATTATCAATCCTCAGAAATGAAAGTGTATATATGAAATTGAATAACAGGAGGAAAAATGATGCTACACTTGTCTGTGTACTTATTTTTGAAAGATTAATACAAGTAATTTGTCCCACGGGTTATCAAAGTGAATGTAACACACTGTCTGACTGTTCTGCAGATACCTAAAGTATTTGACCAAGAAGTACCTGAAGAAGAACAATCTTCGCGACTGGCTGCGTGTTGTGGCTAACACCAAGGAGAGCTACGAGCTGCGCTACTTCCAGATCAACCAGGATGAAGAGGAGGAGGAAGATGAAGATTAAATATACAATAAATCAGTTTTTGTACATTTAAATAAATGTGGTTTACAGTACAGAAGGCGTGTCCCATTGTCTTGAAATGTCTTTCCTCACAGGAAAGTTAAAAGAAAACCTGGCTTGCATGTTAGTAATCTTAAATTGTAGAGAAACAACTTTAGATTTAACTGAATTCACTTTTACTAGTCTCTTCTGCTGTCTTGTTTCATAAACTGCTTAGACATTAAGAGTACCAAGTGAGTTAGGTCAAATAAAAAGCAGTACAGCTAGAATTGTTTTGGCGCTCTACTGTAAAGCAGTGATAAAAAGTGACCATTTGGGGACACCAAATTCAACTTCTGTGCTATACTAGAAACTGATCAATTAAATATATAATTCTCCAGTGGGACTGTCAGACGACTGTCATAACTAGGGTTGCAAAGGTAATCGAATTGTATCATTTTATTTTGAAATGAGCCGTTGCGACTTCCGACTGATTTCGATAGAGCGGGTAACATGAGCACAGCCCTCTGTGGAGGTCAGCATGAGCAAGAGAAAGGTATGAGGAAAATCGTGTTTTCCAAGAAAAGTGGGAGAAAGAATATCTTTTCACTGAATTCAGAGCTAAACCACAATGTTGAGTATGTTTGCAGACCGTTGCTGTAATGAAAGTAAGCAACTTGAGCCGCCACTACTAATTTGTGTGTTTGTGTGTTCCAAGTGAATCTGCGGCCCCCTGGTGGCCAGTACATAAATTATGTGGCCCCCAGCACCATCCAAGTTGCCCATCCCTGCTGTAGAGGGTGTGGTCTCAATAGACATGCAGTAAGCAGTGTGCTATGTGCATGTGATTGAGGAATGGCATGGATATTCAAGTGTACTTGAAAGGCATCTATTTGTTTTAGTCAAGATTATGCTAAAATATACTTTCCCCAACTATATTTAAGTTCCCTATGAAGAGCCAACCTTCAATTTAGAACATTCCCAGTTTATTCCCTTAAATTCCCATGGAAAGTTTCCATCTTTGAAAATTCCCGGAATTTTGCAACCCGTCATAACTAATGACTGGTGGCATAGGATGTTTAAGACCAAGGACAGATAGTACAGATATGTTGACAAGGGGTAGACAAATCAATTCACATGAATCTTTATTTACCATTTAAATGAAAAAAAGTAACCCATTTCACCATAAAAAAAAAAAGTATTTATTACAGGTATGAGGAAAACACCTCTGCTGTTTTTAAAACAAAGACATGCCTTAGTTTCCAGAACACCTCAAGACATGAACATGTGCATGAGAAAGATTCTGTCCTGCTTCTGGAACCAGCTAAGCGCTGGAATAGTTAACTGAGCAAAGACAGATCTGGCAGACAGAGGTCTTGGAAGGACTGACAGGTGCATTCTTGATGCAAACACTGACCATAACTAAAGGAATGTAACCATCTAATGGAGTGCTCCAAATCCTGATTGTAATGTGTGGCAGCAGCACACCGCTCGTACACTGATCCGCTGAACAACACAAACAACACTTCCATATCCTGAACAAACGCGTAGAAAAAGGCACAGGAATGGAAATTGGTCTTTGAAAAGCCCTCAGTAGGAAAAGACTGAGAGTCCTGCGGTGTAGCACCTGTAAATGTGACAACTTTATATACTGCAACAAAGAAAACAACAGAACAAGACATGAACGTTTGGCTGTTTAACAAAATGGAGAAGGGTTTTTGGCGAGCAAGACTCAAAGGTGTGAAGTGCTTTGAGCCAACTTCTGCAGGTAGACTCGAGGTGGAGGTGGAGATATATTGACCATTCCTTGAGAGCTGGTGGACTATCTAGGGAATCTGTCAGTCTCCAGCCCGTGTTCTCTCCATTGCAGTGTCCGAATTGGTGCAGGCAGTTTGCTGGGTAGTTGAGATGTGTGGGTATCCTTTCCCCCCAAAACTCATCCGTCCCACTTGTACACCAGCAGAGACGAACAGGCGGGCCATGCTCCGGGGGATGAGGTGTTGCTGATGGAGGTCCAATCAGATTGTTCGAGGGTTGTACTCTGGCAGCTTTTTCAGTCTCTCCTGTTCCTGCTCAGTATCCTGCCTGGCAATCACCAGAGAGTGACAGTAGCCCATCACCACCTGCAAACACAACATGGGTGGAAAAACTACTCAGATCTTGTACTTAAAGTGGACCTATTATGCTATATTTTAAAAATATATTGTAGGGCCATACCTATATAAAACATGTCTGTGAAGTTTTTTTTTCAAAATACCAAACAGATCACCCATTGTAGCCATCCCTCATACTGCTCAAACCCCTCTTTTGCAGCCCTGTTAGAGAAACGTAGATTTTGGGTCCTTAGCTTGAAAAAAATAAATAAGGAGGCGGAGCCAATGCCTGATCAGAATTATACCGGAGATAAAGTTAAATTCGGTTGTGATAAAACGCCTTCCTGTTTAAACCACGTCAAGGATTATTTCTGAAATAGTATGGAGCTCAAATGCTTTTTCTCTTGCAGGTTTATCACAAGGCGAGTTCTTTTTAATATTTCCTGCTTTTTAAAACACATGTGCTTTTCAGTACAGGTTAGCTCCGAGTGTTAGCGAGGCTTGCTAATGTAAACAAAGACGTCCAAAACACGTCAGGCATTGTTTCTGATAGCAACTTTCTGTGGGTCCGCCGACGTCACCACGGATGGACACGTCAGTTCGGATGGAAGTCTGTATCCGCTCGTTGTACACCCGTTTTTAAAAGATTTGGGTACGGAGGAAAAGAGAGAGGGTTTTATTTTCTGACGCTGCTTGAGTTCCCCGACGCACCGGGGACACATATTTATGTATAAAAGACATCACAAAGTGCATTTTGCATGATAGGTCCCCTTTAAGTAGATGAAAATGTGACATCTAAATTCTGAAAGTACCAAAAGTAAAAGTATTGACTATACAGATTGGTCCATTTCAGAATAATATATATGATATGTTTTATAATGATTGATCGTTAAAGTGTTCTCAAAGCTGGTAAAGGTGCAGCTAGTTTGAATGACTTTGTATACTGCAGGGTAGCTTGTGAATTTACTCCAGATGGAACTAAAGTCTGATTTAACACTTGATTATATTTCACATCATTCATCCACATCTGTAAAGTAACTAAAGCTATTAAATACATGTGGTGGAGTCAAAGTACACCATTTATCTCTGAACAAAGTAGCAACACATTTAAGTGCTCAAGTAAAGTACAAGTCTGTCAACATTGTACTCAAGTACAGTACTTGAGTAAATGCACATGGTTATTTTACACCACTGAAACACAACTTGAACATCATGAATTCTTCTTCAGAAAAATGTTTACAGAGGTAATAAATCTAGTTCCAAGTAAGGTCATTTTCTAACAGACTTCTATCCATCTGGTTGTATTTTTACCACTAGTACACTGCCCCCTGTTGGACATTATGCAGACTGTAGCTTCAAGGGACATCAAAAATAGCTTTAAACGAATAAATTAAAAAAAATCGAATATAGCATATTAAGGCTAGACCCTTCCTCTAGTGCCCTCATCAGCTCAACACTTTGATTGTCCAGTAGTATTGTTTATGAACTAATTCCCTACGAGCCTCAGTACATTCTACCACCACACTTCAGTGAGATGGTGAACATTACTACCTGCATCAACCCAGCACAGCCTCACAGCTGGATGATGGCGACTAAGGGCCAATCCCAAACCACGCCCCTACACCTATACACTCCCCCTCCGTGACGGAGTGAAACTCCGTGGAGTGACACTCGCAACTCAACGAGGCTCCCTCCTGTCAGATGGAGGGAGTAAATACAGCGGCAAGCTTTGGGACAAACTCCCCTCTCTCCGGCAGAAACAGGAAATGCCGTAACTGTATGTAACAACGCTTTCAAATCAGCATCTCTTAGACAAAAAAAAATAAAAAATTAATAACTCAAATAAAACTCCAAACATCTTTAATTGTGTTAATTTGTTGTAAAGCTCTTTTAGTTTTAAACCTGATGTTTATAAGCTTCTTAGTTTTTGCTACAGTCTATAAATATACACAACTTTATTACTTTGTACAACTTTAAAATGCACACATTTACCTTTTTCTAGACTATACGATCCTAAGTTAAAAGAATACGAGGTTATCATGAGGTTGTTAACATCTCAATTTATCCGTGCTGGAACTACTTATAAACAGCTTGTTTCCTGACGGACACACACAGCGTGACTCCGGTCAGGTAGAGACCGGTCTCCAGTCAGCACCGATGCAGACTTGCTGTTTGAGGGCTTGATAACCCACTCCCCCTCCACACCGCTCCACACTCGTTGGTTTGGAAAAGCACTTAATGTGGCAGACCCTCCGCGCAAACGGAGGCAGTGTTTCCCCTAGGTTTACTGCCTTGGCAGGGTGCTGATCGGGGGGGTGCCAGGAAAATAAAAATTTGATTTTCTTTTTTTTTTATCGATAACGGCTTGAGGTTAAAAAATAATAATAAACAAATTTGAAACTGGGGGGGGGGACACAAACGGGCCCTCACCCACATTGAGGATAAGGGCCTTTCTATCTTGGAGTACTCAGTTTGGACATTTTCTAAGTGATCTGTTTGATTGTTTGTAGTTTTCCCCTAATAGGAGCTGACAAGTCCAGTTACCTGCTCAATGTAGACCCCATCCAAGGTCTTCACCTCCTGAGCGGTGGTGGAGGACTTGGGTTTGTTGTCTCCATATCCCTGAAGGAAACATTTTAAAATAAAATCAGCACCACGGCCAGTATTATCTGTAAATAAGTTGTAATGAACAGTGTGTCCAGGCCGTGGCTGAGGCCTCAGGTCTTACCAGCTCTCCAAATGTGGGCGAGGGGGCCCCAGCTGATCGTACTCTTCATCTGCAGCAATAATGATGCTGCTCTTCCTGGGAAACACAAAAACACTCAGTCAAACTCTACACCGGGAGGTCAAATTATTTCTGCAATCCATGTAGAGCAAGTGATTACTTTGAGGGTACCTACACTTTAGTGCAAAAACTTTCCCTTGCCCATTGCATCTCTAATTGATATACTATCCTATGTATATGTGTATGTGTGTGTGTGTGTGTG